CAGCAGCGCTCAGCAGCCCCCTGAAGTCCCACACAGCGATGCCGGCTCCCGCATGGATGGAGAGTCGCGGTGAGCCCTGCTGCAATGTTGAGAAGCAAGGCGGGGGTTTTAGGAAGCGCCAGCCAGCCGCCCTCAGACTAGAAGCGCCGCCGCTCTGGGGGAGAGAGGCTCAGAGGGGGACCGCGCCGTCCGGACTTGCTGGCTTCCAGCGCGGAGTCCCGACTCCCCTCCGACAGGCCGGCGCCTCCCCTCCCTCCCGCGAGGCCATGGGGGGGAGCAGAGGGTCAGGGGAGGGGGCCCGCAAACCGCGCAAGGGGGCCGGGCCCCCAGGGCCCCACGCGGCCTACGGGCCTGGATTGAACTGTTTTTAAACTTGGTAGTCCACCTTGAATCTTGGTGGGGAAGGTGGGCTATGAATAAATTGTCCTGGCAAGTCATGCAAATCGAATGGCAGGTGTAGTGCCGTGGCTAAGAGGCTGGGTTTTCTATGGGGAAGTCCCTGGTTCAGATCAGCCCATCACCGGTCCCCAGGTGGCCTTCAGCAAGCTGTTCTCCCTTTGTCTCTGCCTCCCCCCCACCTCCTTCTACAACATAGTCAGGGATGATAATGTTGGGCTACTCCATAGGATTGTCGTAAGGCAGGGGCGTCAAACATATGGCCCGCGGGCCAGAACTGGCCCATCCAGGTCTCTTATCTGGCCCACGAGCAACTGGTTATTACCCTTATTGCTAGAGGACAGAGGCTGCGCATTATGTCCCTGTATAGTATCCCAGTGCTGATGAGTGATGGGAGGTGGAAGTGGGAGGGAGGGTATCAGGGAGATACTTCAAGGAAATACTGTAAGAGTGTGAATGTCTAAGGCATGTTTGTATTTTGAGTAGAAGATAATGTCATTACTTGGATTTGCCTCTGCCCTTTATAAAGTTTATGTCTCCTGTACCTGGCATTACATTCTATGGCCCATGGCTTGGCCCAACAAAGGTCAGATCCAGCCCTTGTAACAAATGAGTTTGACATCTCTGTGTAACGGCAGCAGCAAGAGAACAGATTCCAGAAGGCCTTGAACACTTGAATGCACCATACAAATGTTTACTGTTGGGATTATTATTACCACCACCAGGCTTCAAGGATGGAAATCTGACAACTTTTCCTTATCTCTAAGTGACATTTCTGTCGTGACGATAAACGAGATCCATACTGTTTAAGCTATGCTATTTTTGAAAGTTGTTTCTCCACAAGGTCTGTTTCTTTATCATGGGGAAATATTTTATCTCCTCCCCTCCCCCCCCCCCCCCCCCCCCCCCCCCCGGATAAAGAATTCAGGCTTCCTTTACTCCTGGCAGAAAATCTTGCATTTATAAGCATAGTCAGTAAATCAATACTGCGCTGTAGCACTGAAGATCAAATGCTGTTGGAATATAGGAAAATAACAGTTTTGGCTGCAGTTTAAGCAGCTTATCGTAAATGGCCTGAATAAATTAATTGATAAGTACCAGTAAGGGTGCAGAAATCAATCTGAAGTCGCTGTGACTACAAGTTTTCCTGCTTTTTCCTTCCCCCTCCCCCAATTATATAAGAATGCAAAATTTAAAAAACCAAGAAAGGGGTTTGTGGGTGTTTGCAATATTTGAATGTAGTAAAGAATTCTCCCACTCAATTTACACTGATGGGCAGTAGGTTCAAGACAGACAAAAGGAAATACTACTTTACACAGAGAATGATTAAATTGTGGGATCCAGTGCCGGACGATTTAGTGATGGCCACAGGAATGAACAGCTTTAAAGGGGGATTAGATAGATTCATGGACTATAGCTCTATCCGTCACTACCGAGGGGAAGGCCTTGGCCTCTGTGCCCTGTTAGCCTTCCAGAGGAACTGGTTGGCCACTGTGTGGGACAGGATGCTGGTCTGATCCAGCAGGGCTCTTCTTATGTTCCACAATTCACAGGCAGCGTCCTGCAGATTGTTTCCGCTCCTGGGCAGCAGTATGTGCGTCCTCAGGCTCCGGTTGTGATGCAGACAGTGTCTCAAGCCGGAACCATACAAAATGCTCTGAACGCTTTGGGAAATCAGCATCAAGCCAGCTTGCCGACTTCAGCAATGACCCCTCAAAGTAAGAGCTCCCCCCCCCCCCAGCCCAGTAAATCTATCCCTTGGACATTTTTTTTAGATAGCCGTTGGAAGCTATCTGCATATGGTGGGTTGGATCCAGCAGTAATTTCCATTGGGTTTTTTTTGTATCGGAGGAAT